CATAGAAAAAGGTTCCCTAATGAAGATTTTTTACAGGATTAAAATCAGGTTCTAAATAGAGAAGTGTCAAAGTTTTATGCTTTTAAAGTTCTCCAGAGCAAAGATTTTAAAAAGCCTGTAGTTTTAAACTACTTCAACAAAAATGTCATACTTATGTCTCTTTGTGCAAAAAAAAAAAAAAAAATAGAATCGTCGCGTGAACTCACTGTGACACTCTGACGGTGGGTCCATGCTCTGGGCTGAAGCCCTTTGCAGGGCTGAGCGGCTGGTCAATAGCAACTGAAAAGCCCCGCCCTCTGCATCCGTTGTTCCCCTCGCTGGAGGCTGGAATGGAGACGAGCGTGACGGTGTGCGGGATGCGAGAGCGTGGCGAGTCTGGCAGAGACACGGGGGTCACGATGGTCTGGTAGTAACAGTGACCGCTGCAGCCGAAAGAGACGAAGAGATGGAAATTATGAAGGGAGGCGTGAGAAACCTTGTGAGAAAAGAAATTCTCATTACATCAGTCCTAGAATCACATGATGTTGATGCGATGAAGCCTGAGCACATGGCCCTCACTACACAATAATTGCGAGGAAGCAGATCCTTAACGTCGGAAAATTAGTTTTGAAAGCGGACAAATTAGACCTTCTGTTTATAGAAACATGTAGGATTCAGAACAAGGACCACGGTTCAGTGGCTTAACTTCATTAACCATCATGGAGGGAAACCATTAACCGTTTATGGCCTACATGTATCATTGCCTCATAATTTGATCCCCTTTACATTTGTTCATTTTGGCCCTAAAAGTAGAAAACCTCCTATTTTAAAAGCAGGTATGCGAACTGGAAGCAGGTAGATGTTATTCTATTGCTTCTCAACCTTATTTGAACAGCGAGTGACTCAGAGTGACTGAGAATGAGATCATCCCCATGTGTGGGTTACGTTACCTGCTGAATTACCTTTGTGTAAAAGAGTTTAGCTGTAAGACAAGCCGCCTGCATAAAGCAGCCTGATGGATACGACTGCAGAGTGCCTGAAGCCTTCTGAAGCACAATATTCCACCATCTGTTTTAAAGACTGTCTTGTGACACTCATACATCCTGGCTGGTGATGTAGTTAAGAACAAATATACAGAATGCAGCAGCTAATGTGAAGCTCACACTGTCAGCCTCTTATATTTCTGCAGAAAATTAAACTGACAGATTACCATTTTAGCCTCAAGAGAAAAAGACCTTTAAGTACCAAACCATCTTATTTTTTTCACATAAATAGTTGTTTTTTCCAAGCATAACAGCAAAAAAGCAAAATGCACAAATGGAACAAATAGCTGCCCAGGTAAAGCTTAGTGCATGTTTAAATCATCTTAATTTAATCTAAAATAAAGCCATGGCTTTGCGTGCAGAAGAGCAATACTTTGTGCAAAATAATGCCTTTTAAATCCTACATGTGCGTTTAATAGCATTTTACACCAATTTTTTAGATTTTTGCAATCAAATCATACAGAAATTGCATGATTTGATTGTTATTTATCGTTTCCTGCTTTGCAGTTTTTGGGCTTTATTTGTTACATGCAGGTGAATCTTCTATGAAAAACAAAATGAGAATTTTAATTTCTGTACATTAATCTAGCTGAAAAAGAGTTCCTACATTTAAAAAAACTCTATGAAAAACAAAATTTTATACTAGTGCCAAGTTTTCTATGAAAAATCTATAGTATAATGTGGCTGAAAAGCTGTATTTTTTTTTTCATTTGGCCAGTTGTTTATGGTTATAACACCAGCCGACCCAGTAATAACCCATTTATCATCTACTGGTTTAGTCTCATTTGTTGTTTTATTTCCACAAATATGTCTTTTTACAGACTTTTTTTTTCTCCATTAATCAAATGTAATGCAAGGTTAGACGTTTCTACATTTCTCTGAGTAAGACTTCATAAATATAGAAAAAAATATACATCTTAAATCTTTTTAAATTCTTCTTTTTACCAAGAGTGCAAATAATTATGAAAGATATATTTAAAATCCCATTTTTCCATTGCAGGCTTTAGATTAGTCCCTCAGTCGCTCATTTAAATCATCATTTATGAGTTTTTTTTTAATGTAACACTGAAAATAAGTAAAGAGATAAGGATCAAACACTCTGTGTTGGAAAAGCTCATTGAACATTTTTGATTTATAAATGATTTACTGTGAAAAACTGATTTAGAAGCATTGTTTTAGTATTTTTTTTTATTTTTTTTTTATCCATTTCAAAAATGTTGATGTTTTGCGTTTAAATAGAGCAAGAGGCGCCAGATGCTCACCAGTAAAGTTTGGATCTTTCCACCAAAGCATACGTGTCTCCATCACCAATAAACGCTCTGCAGTTCAGACAGCTGAAGCATTCTGGGTGATACTTCTGTTCTCCTGCAACCTGAAAGTAAAAAGAACAGAAAACAAAACATGATGCTTAATTGTTCATTTAATAAATCGACGGTGCATGTTGACCACCAATCATTGGTCTAATTAAAAGAAGAAAAAACAAACTTAAGAATTGGTGCAGAATGAGTTACAAGCTAGAGAGGGTTTTATGACCGATCTGGGAAGCAGGGTGAGGTCTGTTCACCGACGTTAAAGTTGAGCGCCACGCTCTGAGATCCAGTTTGCTGCAGCCAGATGTCGACTGAAGCTGGGGGCAGTTTTGTAAACAAGAAATGGAATTGAGTTATTGCTCTAAAAACAGAGCAGGAAATGAGGAAATAATTCACACAGACAGATCTGATGATGAGGCTCATTTGTCGGGCGGGGGGCATAGGAGTTGTAGCTCTTTATGTTTTGCACATAGGAGAAACAGTTCAAATAAACAACTCTTTAAGTGTACCTTAATGGCAAATATTTAGACCCAAACACTCCCTTTTAATTGCATTACTTGCTTCAATAATTTATTTATTTTAATTATTCTAAAGAAAACAAATCACGTCTGAAACATCCACTGCCCATTCTTGCTGACTCCTCCACTAAAGCAACTGATTAAACACCCCTTTCCTCCACTAATACCAACAACCTCCTTTAACTCCTACAGGTAAATCCATCTCCTGTCAATGCACATAAACTGTCCACTCAAATACTAATGAGGATCAATGTTTAAACATGAGCAACAGCGGTCAGCACCAAAGGCAGAGTCCTCAAGAGCCGGTTCCTCCCTGGAGGCTGCTCTTGTTATTTCATTTTTTGCTTTCTGAGGCAGAATTTTATTTCAAAGAGTCAAACCTTCAAAGGATCCCTTCAACTACAACGCTCTGCATTGCTAATGTTGCTAATAAGGTGCAACATGGATTAATACATCCAATTACCATATAGTTTGCGAGTCAAGCCTCTATGCAGGACAAAATAAAATGCCAACGGGAGTCAGCTTATAAAACATACCTCTACTCTGCCCTGAGACCTTCAAACCAAAAGCTTAAGTCAAAGCATTTATGTCTCACAAATAAATAGAGATACATTAAGAAATTGGCCTAAATTTCACTGAAAATTTCCTGAAATCTGCAACTATTGTTGCATTTTGAATTAAAACATGTCATTTTTCCATCAGATCAATTCTTAATGTATTCAGATAGTTGAACCCAAGTCCTTCTTTTAACTGTGAAAAATCAGAATAAGCTAAAAAAGGAAAAAAGTCAAATTTATGAAATGGGTGTTTAGAAATCAACTGCAACATGTTCAACAAATCCAAAATAAAACCCCAAGAAACTCAGCAGTAATATGGCACCGTTCCACTTTAATACAAGAACAGCCAGACTTTCTGCATTTCTTTTATCTTTAACTCAAACATGCAGAAGAGACTGAATAACCATCTGTTTGGGTCAGAGGATGAATAAAAACCTCAAACAGAAATCTATTGAGTTTATTAAGGAGAAAAACTGACTGCGCTGAGGGTTTTAATGAGGACCCCAAATGGCCCAATTAAACGATTAATTAACTATGAACACAGCAGAGGAAAAAGGTCTAACAACCATCCAGTCATAATTCTGGGCTTTGCATCTTCTATGTGGATTTCCTCTCTGTCTTTGTGTCACTTTAAGGTGGAACTATGTAAAGAAAAAAAAAAGGACCAGACAGGAAGAGAGGACAGCTGGACGGACGTGTAAAGGGTGTCGTCTGGACACAGCCCGTCACTTAGGCTGCCATTTGCCTGCCATGTGGGCACACACACCCATTTAGAGGCAGACAGCTGTTCCTGTTTCATTAAAGACCTCCTTCCCTTCTGGATGAACGGATGCAAAGACAAATCAAGGATTCAAGTATTTTAACCAAAACATTATAACTAGAATCTTCCATGAAACGGAGTCGAGAGGCATCACATGTTTGGTTACCCTGGATATCTCGATCTTTCTCATCAGGGCAGTGGGTGTGTTGTGTCTGTGTGTATGAGCTCATCATCACGCTTATGACTGTGGTTCTTCATTTTTATCTCCATCTGTGACCAAAATCAGCCTCTTCTATGAATCCCAGGGTCTGAGCCTAAAGGGTGCAAAACCCTCCACAGCAAGAGCTTTGTAGTATGATTGCAGTAAATAGAAGAATGCATATTTATTTGAAGGATACAAGTTCTTTATAAAGAAAGAAGCACACTTATAATTCTACGGCAATTTGGGCATTTCAACTAAGTACATCATTGAGCACCAAACATTATTTTATAGCCTCTGCATGCAGTAATTAATGGTAAGAAAAGTTCACCCGGAATATTTCTAAATATTGACAAACTTTGCTCTATGAATGTAGTGATCATTCTTTTAATCAAAATAAGTCTACATAAAATAACTTTTAATCTGATTTTTTCTAAAATGACAAGAACTGAATTAAAACCAACCAATGGAAATAAATAAATAAATAAATAAGAAAGTTACGTTATTGATAAACTCAAAGTAAAGTTCATCAGACACGACTCTGGTAGTGTGTTTAGAGAGTAAAAAACTTTCATTATGATCGAAAAAAAAAAAATGTAACACATTTGTCTTTAATTATAATTGCAAATGAGGTTCTCTACTTAAAATTTTAGAGATAAAACTGTCAATAGAGCTTTTAGATAAAATAAATATTAAAGGTAACAGGGTGAATTTTGAGAAATCATCCCATTATTTCCTCATTCAGTCAGTTAACTGATCAATTTGTTAACTGAGCTTTGAAACATAAACTAGGAATCATGTATTTGTCTATTTTAATGGTACAGAAGCCCAGAGAACAAAATAAAATGTCATTTAAAACATTAAATTTAGAAATGGAAAAAAAATAATAATTTTGAAATGTATCTCCTTGTTGAAGTTGAGTGTTGTTAAACTATCATTCTGCAGCATCTGATCTATATTAATGGTTATATGATGCAATTTTAACATTTCTATGAGTTTCTTTTCTGTAGATATACATGAAATAATTGCATTTGCAGAAATTTCTGCTCTCCAAACATTCTTACCCATGGGTTAAATGGCAAAGATGATGGGAAGCATTATATGAAAAAAAAATCTAGGGCTGCAACAAATGATTATTTTGAAAATCTATTAATTTGTCGATTATTTTTTTCGACTAATCAATTAATATAGCCAAAGATTCTTTAAAGATTTGTTGAAAGAAAATTAAACCAGGTGATACTAAAACTTTTCCACATGAGGAGTTCTGGATTGAGAATATTGACAGACAAAATATTTTTTTAAAACCTTAAATACAAAATACTGATATATATTTTTTGCAATCTTAAGGATTAATCAATTACTAAATTAGTTGATGATTACTTCAATAATCAATTAATGGTATTAATTGTTTTGGCACTTATAACACCATCTATCTCCCATGATTTTTTTTTCATGTTGTTTTAAAAATGTTGATTTTCATTTCATGCATTTAATTTCATTTCCTTTTAAATAAAACAACAGTCACTTAGATATTTTATCATTAAATACCATGCATACTTATAAATGATTTTGACATTTGAAAAAAAAAAAAAAAAAAGGTAATTCAAAAATTCCCCCTCCATGTCTTATTTTTAATTCTTGGTTGCTGTTTATATTAGTCATCTGTCATTCAGTTCCTGTTTTAGTAAAGTTTGATCACAGATGTTCCACTGTGACATTCTTCAAATTCCTCATGCAATTTCACAATCTTTGTTGGTTGCATTTTGCAAAATTGAAATGCATCAGAAATATTAATAGCAACACAAACTTGAACTGAACCTATTATTTGTTAAAACCAATAAATTTCTTCAAAGAGGAGAAACCAAAACAACCCTTTAAGTCTTGAACTATTTTTAGTTCCCCTTCACTAAAGGAGTCGTTTATCTCTAGGAAGTTTCTAGAAAGGAAGTTTCTCTTAGTATTGACATTAAATAATGTGAATAAAGTGAATAACCAGACTACATTGGTGGTACCCATATTCTGCTCTACCTCACAAATGATCCAATATATTAATTTAAAATAATAATAATAGTCTTATGTAAAAAAAAGATATGGCAGAAAGCATAATAATAATAATAATAATAATAATAGAAGAAACCTTGACATAAATATGGGTGACATACAGTAGAAAGCTGTGATTCAGGGTGTTTGAGCACACGAGGTCAAATGAAGCCTGCCAAATGCACTCACTTTAATTCCCAGTGGGTATTATTTAGTGGAATGGAACTGGAATGAAGAGTGAAGACAGTGGGCCACATTCACTGCCTCTGAATGGAAACTCCCTTCTATCAGCAACAGTACAGTAACACAGTATTTACACAGGCCGCCTCTTTGGGAAGCATTAATGTATTCTGACTGCTTGCTCTGCAACTCACATCCACCATAATGAAATGTGGACTCTCATCGCTGCAGCTGAAAAGCAAACTTAAGTGGTAAATAAAAAGCAAAAAACAAAACTGAATGCACTTTTTGAAACATAAAAAAAGAGCATCTGAAATGGAAAGCATGCCATATCTCATCAGTTGTCCATGAAACGATGAAAAAAGAGCAAAAAGAAGCAGATCTGTAGTGATACACTGGCCTACTTTTTATGACCTACAAAGTACGGCATCACATTTTGAATTCAGCTTGAAATTTTCAAACCACTTTGTGACTCTGCAAAAGCAAGGCGTCAGACCGTGTGTCCGTCAGCCTCCCTGCCTGCTTCCTCACCGGCTCATGAATACTCTAAATAATCCATAGGGCGTCCAGGAAGTGGGCGCAGCAGCAGTGATCATCCTCACCTTCTTATCCCGTCTCCACAGCCTGAGACAGCAGAAGCTCCAGAAAAACAAGTCTCCCACCATGTCAGTCTCGTCCTCGCTCTTCTAGTTCATTCTACCGAGGCGAGCATTTCCCCCTCGCAGTCACAACAAAACACTGGCAGCAGCCGAGGCGAGCAGAGCCAGAGAGCTGCAGGGGGAGGGAGGAGAGCAGCCCACGCCTTTGC